GAAACAGAAGAACCTTTACTTTGCCCTCTGTATTCATCATGACCCACTTGCAGAGTCAGTACAATCAATCAATGTAATCTCAAACCCAGGACATTTTGCAGGTCCCTTTGCTTTCTTCACCATAAGTATCCACACAATATCAATTAAATGTTAGGATTTTGTAAGACACATACTGCATTTTTTCAAGAGGAACCAAATTGCAATCAGACACTTGTATTCATAGCATTGTTAGTGCTGATTGATTGAAGACAGGGTTAACAGTAGAAGGAGAAACACGATGTTCATTTTCACAAAAGATACCTGCAATGATCTAAAAGTATGGTTAAAAATAGGGGGGTTTATAGGTAAAACTTCTCATTTGGTGACTAAGAGAAACCTGCTACTTATTGTTCAATCAAGACTGAGTGGCAGATACAATTTTCTCTTTGGATAGCTGTATTAGAGTGTAAACTAAACCACTCAGAAAATAATTCTACTTAGTATGTGGAATCACAGAAAAATCAGTAATTATTCATCAGCTGAGTGAAAATTTCCATTAGACAGGATTCTTTTGTTCTGTGGCCAAGGTGTGACCAAAAAAAAAGACAGAAACAAACAAACAATAAGATTATGACTTCGAAGGTTGATATGGGTCAAAACAAGACTATCGAAGTGACACAATGCTCATTTTTAATTAGACTTCCTAATGCAACATCAAATTGTTTTTCTTCTGAGAAACAGCACTTCAACAAGGCATGAAATACTCGCAGCTTAGTTTATTAGGAGGCAACAAAGGGATTCCAATCTGCTACAACAATGTTTCAGCCTATAAGCACAGCCAGTGCAGTATAAAATTGTGTCATATGAATTTTAATGTGACACAAGTATGAAAGATTCCAAAAGAACAAAGGCAGCACAGTCCTGTTCCACGCTACACAAATGACCTATTCTGATCTGAACAGCACACCACATTACAATCAAATTTATTTCAAAGGAGGGTTGCACAGGTCAAATGTAATGGCTGCAAGAATGAGGTATTTCCTTTATGTAGCATTAGAGAAAAGCAAAATATCAAACAGTGCAGGAACGCCAGGGCACTGAAAAGAAAGGCATATTTAGGCTGCAGAGAAACAGATTTTATAAAGATGTTTTAATTATATGTCATCCTCACTGACTACAGTTTCTAAGTTTCAAAGATACTGTGATACCTCGATGAAGATGTCATGTATACAAGTGAGCTTGTCTATTACATAGCCTTTAATATATATTTAAAATTTCAAGGCACCAGAGAAAAGTTTCATGTACGGTTCACACTTAACAAAAGGAGATAGGCTAAGTGGTCTAACTGGTTGGATGTCTCTTCGTAGCCTGATATCTCTATAGCAGAAACCATGATATTCCCAGATGTCAGAATCCAACAACAAGAGAGAGGCTGGTAAAGCTCCACAGCTGACTATCCGATCTTACCACAAAGAAGCTACTTTAACAACTTAAAGGTATCAGAACAATGAGGTCGACTCGAAAATACTGGACTGTCAGAAAATACACAGAAATCCATTAGGATGTAAATCCAACAGTAAATGAGCAACTAAGGATAAGGTGAAAAGCAGGTAAAAAAATCTTAATGATCAGGTATCAGTAAACAAAAAGGGTAAATTCTCACAGTACTTCTTGCCATGTATTTCCATCAAGATTTAGGCTTCATCTTTGTCTTCAGCCTTCTGAACAGTATGATGGAAAAACAGCTCCAAGTCCTGACTGCACAGTTCAGAATGGATGTTTGTCCATCCTCTGTGACTGGAGACAATACTCACGCACACTATGAACACAGTTTGCAGGTATGTGGGCAGTAGGCAGACAGAGTAACAAGTACTTAACGCAAGACAGCCATAAAAAGTCAGAAGAAAACATGTTATACCTCTTTAAAAAAAAAAACATAAATACTTTCTATTTTACAATTAGATGAAAATTTACTACGTGAGTTTTTGAAAACTAAGATCTTGGAAAACCAAATTCTATCAGAAAGTTCAATGCAAATCAAAGCTTGTTGCTGTGGAGTTTTTTCAATAAAATGAAAATACACTATTGAACTATCTTCCATTTGATTCCCAGCCAGGGCTTCCCCAGTCACAGAACAAGATAGAATAAAAGTTGCATTGGAAGAATTTCTGTAATGAATTGGCTACCAGCCCAAAGGTTAGAATTAGTTTTATCGCCCAAGTCTAGCACTAAAATCGGTATTAGTCACCTCAGCTCTCCAAGTTCTAATCAATCTACTTCTTGGGAGACTTTGAAATATTCAAAGAATGTAGACTGTTATGACCAAAAAACCCCATGCCAGTAAGTTCCAGTGTATAGGAATGTAACATAACCAGCGAGAGATAAAATCCTATTGACATATTTAAAAATTATCTTAGTCTTAGTTTTCAGAACCCATAGCTCTCATCCCTCCTTTCAATATTTTTTGGAGGTTAAAAATATTCATTCACCACCAGACATTTATATCCCTGAAAATTGATGTATTCACCTACATTATGACAGCTCTAGTGTAATTCATTAACGTTTGGACTTGGAGACAGACATAAAGGGAAAAAATACAAACCTTTAATGTTTCACTTGGTGAACAAAAATTGCATTAATTTAGATATTCAGTCACAAGAATCCAATTAGCTATGGATATATCCACACATATTCATACCTTTCAACCATCACACTCATTTGCATTTTGATGCTATTTTCTATAAAATATAATCCCTTTTACATTGTATTTAATAGATTCATTCAGATTTGCATTTCCATATGTCATATTTAAGCTTATACTACCACCTGCCTGAGGTTGTATAGTCTGAATTGTCACCTTCATAAACCACTTCAGTAGGAGAAAATCCTCCGTAGACACTGTATGAACTATTTCCCTTCTGCTTAGTGTAGAAGTATGATAATCATTAGGACCAGGAATAATACCCACACACAAAAAAAGCATTCATATGTGTCCCCCTCAAAAAATCAGATTAACATCTTCAAAAGAAAATATTCAAGTTACTTAAGATATACTGCAATGAAATACCACCTTCATAAATTTTTTTACACAAGTCAGCAAGTATTGACCAAGATTACTGTGATATGAACTCTACATTTGCTGCATATATGCCATACACATAGGTATATAAAAGTATTTGCATACATAAACATATGCATATACATAATTTCACACTTAAAGGACACTGAGATACCTTCCTAGAAAGATTTGCAAATCAAACAGATTAACTCTGATTCCAACTACTAACATCAAGGCAATGCAATACCATCATGTCTCTGCTTTGTGTTGGGCCCATCTAGTAACACTGCTGAGCTGCGGAAAAACTGATGAGCAAAGGTTAAGCAGAGGACTGCCAGAAACAAACTAGGGCTTAGAAATTGCTCTTTCAGATAAGACTAATGCTTTACTGATGCACAGAGTGACTTTGAGGTTGCAAAATCATTAATAAGAGCATCCATTCTCTTTGGATTTACATCATCTCTCATACATTTGGACTTGGGGCAATTAAGGGCTTGGAGCAAACTTTCCTGTCCTCTTTTGGAATTAACAGCCCTGCCAAGGTACCAAAGTGCTCCAAAGGTCAATTTCTGATTATTGTCCTACCATCCTGCACAATGTGTCTGCAAGCAAAGCACAGCATCTGGGGGAAGGGAAAAGGGGAGAGAAGGAGGAGGAGATAAATATTAGCATTGCGATAAGCTCAAAGATCATGACTTGGAGGAGGGCAGATTTCACATGGTCCCTGCTCTGTTAGGTTTCAGGGAAAGCAGGAAGAGAGGCAGCCCACCTCCCTGGAAGGGAGAGCGGGTAGAGCCCCTGCACTTTTCTGCACGTCTAAAGAAAAAATGAAGCATGAACTCAAAGAACTCCAGACCTCCTCTCAGCCCTAGTCGGGTTTAGTCTCGAGCCAACAGGGACTTGGATCTTTTGGGATCACTGGCAACATTGCTAGCTGTGCAAGCCAGCGAGCCTTCTCGTTCTTACACAAAAGGAAAAGAGAAAGTACAAACTGATGATTCCCGGTACCGACTGAAGTTTAGAAAATCCTGACCCTTATACACACTCTATTCCAACTTCACTGCCTTTTCAAGGTTTGCTGTACCCTGTCAGGGAAAGTGCACTTGGCCAATTCGATAACACCGTGTCGCTGAGCACCCCGGTGTGTACTGAGACCAGCCACGCTCACCTAAGGGACCGCCCCTAGTTTTTATCACTGTCAGACTCTGCATCTGCCTTTCGGTCCATGAGGCTGTCACCCACCTCTCCTCTCCGCCCGCCCCCGGCCCGCTGGAGGCTCCCATTCCCCAGTCCTCTATGCCCCGGGGCACGAGCACCCCCACATCTCCACGCCCGCTTTTCTCAGTTACTGCTGGGCTGCTCGGGTACCAGCCTCCAGTGTTTTCAGACCCTGCCCTGATTGAAGACATCCCTCTCCCAAAATGGGAGAGGGAGGGAGAGAGGGAAGGAGAATCTCTGCACAAAGTTTTTTACAGATCCTGCCTGCGCCTTCCTCTCCCCGCCCAAGCCCCTGCCGGAGGCAGTAGGGCGAGGGACGGGGAACGGCGGTGGGGAGGGAAGCGGGAGAGGCAGGGACGCCCAAGTGGAGTGTTATCCTCGGCCCGAGGAGGGCGAGGGAACGGGACGCAGCTTTTAGCGGACAGTGACCCTGGCAGGCGAACGCTGAGACAGAAGGGAGGAGCGGCGCCTTCCTGGAGACAGGAGCAGCCGGCTCTCTCCGAGAGCAATGGCAGCGCATCCCCACCGACCCCTACGGAGATGGGAGCAAAGTCCGAGCCCCAGCGGCGGCAGCGGCAGTGGCAGCAGCAGCAGCAGCAGCGGCAGCAGCGGCAGCAGCAGCAGGTCGCCGCGCCCCGCGCTGGCGGCCCCGGCCCGGGGCACTGCCGCCCCCCAGGCCGGCGAGGCGGCCGCCAGCGCCTCGCCCCCACCCCGGACAGGGCCGGCGAAGGGAGAACTCACTCACCCCCAGCTTCCTGCTGCGGATTTTCACGTAGCCCTGTTTGACTATATCGTTAAAGTTGGAGGCCATGGCCAGCGCTGCCTGCTTCCTCCCCTCCGCGCCCGGAGTCCTCCTCCTCCTCCTCCACCGCCGCCGCCTCCTCCTTCTCCTCCTCCCCCGGGCCCTCCCGGGTGCCGCCGGCCACTGGCTCCAGAGGCGCTTCTGGCATCCAGGCAGCGGCAGCCGCCGCGCTCCGCTCCGCCCGCTCCGCGCCGCTCCCGCGGCCGCC